GTAATTTGAATTTGAATTTTATTAGTTCGTGCTGTTTTAGTTTTCTTCACTGGGAAAAAAATATTTCTTTATATTCTTTTTTTTTAAATTTTGAAATACATATATAATAATTTTTTTCTTATTACATACCCTTATGTGTAATATTTTTGAGATATTTTACTCATTCATTTATTACATAATAAATAAGAAATAATAACATAACTATTTATTAGAACAAAAAATATTTCTTTGTTCCTTCAAAACATCCTAAAAAAATAAACCACAAACGGACATGAACAGAAAATACAAATTTCTTCTTTTAAATTTGGAAAGATATTTTAACCTACAATTCTTTCAATTACAAGAGAAGAATGTTGGCAACACCTTTTAACATACTTTTAATTAGTTATTAATAACATCTCTCAAATCTTTAAAACATGAAGAAAAGTGACCAAAGAAATATTAGTCACAGAAAAGATCAAATTTAACTTTTAAATTCATATTGTTTTCTTAGTGCTACTATCACACTTTATTATATAAAACAACAAAACTATGTTGAATCAAGGCCCATAAACTCAACAGACTAAAGGAAACCCTAAGTTTCATCTCTCACCAAACTTTACTCTTATCCATAGCAGAACAACATGAGCATGACAATAACACAACACCAACACAGGAAGATCGCAACATTGCAACAGTCGTAAGAGTGACAATTGCAGAAAACTTGGAACCCTAATCGCAGTGACAATGGAAAAGAACGTCAAGCTAATTTCACATAAGGAAATTATAATCTTTTTTTTTTAGATTTGAAGAAAAGTCATATGACTCAACAACTAGTTTATTACATCACAAATTTAGTCGAGTTCATTAAATTCATGACAAATTTAACAAGTCTCCTAAAAAACAAACAAGTTTACTCCCAAATTAATTTGAGAGATGAGTGTGAGAACGTAAAGTAAGACGGTTCAACTTGAATCGCTAGTTTGATAACCATGATAACTCATATTGCCTCCTTCACTAGCCAGTGGTGTTGATTACTCCAAACATAAACCAATGTCAAAATCCATAAATTTAACTTGGTTATATAATCCTTTCAAACAGTGTAAATGATTATTTTAAAGCTAATTCTTAGATCTCATAAAAAAGACGGCTAGACAAATGGGCAAATCTTTACAGTTAAATATAACAAATGATGCTTACTGTAAAATAAAAATAGTATTATGATGTTAGAATGCAAGGCCAACTAAGAGGATTTAAGAAAGTAACGCATCTATCATAAATTAGAAACCATATGTTTATATGCCTAATCAAAATTTTCGAACTCAAAATAGGTCCGTACTACAGACTAAAGTGTATCTTCAAGCAAAGGTTCACATCTACTTGTTGTATAGATGAACGGCAGTGAAGATGAAGAAACCTGCCATCTGCATCACAATCAAAAGATTACATTACCCAAAAGCCATTTAGAGATAGAACAGAACATACATAGACACAATACCAACTTCACAACTGAAAATTACAGAACCTCCATGCAAGGAAAACAGGGACATTAACAGAAGGGCCAACAATATTTCGTCAAAACTGTTTAAAGCAGTTCAGTCATTAGAAGAAAAAGGTGAACTCTCCCATTTCTATTTTGAAGGGAAATATTAGGCGGTTTAGAACTCCGAACCACCTCAATTACCACACAAGCTTCAAGTTAGCTGCTTGGTTGAACTATTTTTCCAAATCGTGTACAGAGATCATGTACCAATTTGTAGATTAACTTAATCCAACGAGAATGAAATAATGGGAGAGAGATCCTTACCATCGAAAATGCTGCTCCGTAATAGGGATAAGCTGCTGGTATAAATCTTTCATATTCATTGTGTCTGAAGGGGCGAACAGGAATCTACATGGAAAATTCAACATTCTTTATAAATACTGTTTACAAGACTCTTTATTACAATGTATTTACTCCCACGAAGAAGTTTCACAACTGATGCCAAAGATTAGCATTCAAGCTAATTAGTTGGAAGGAACTCTAATTTGGCAATTAATTCTGAAATACAACTGCTTGAACTGTATACGCTTGGAAAAACTACGTACCATAAAGTCAACTTTAAAGAGATAGAGATAGTCATCAGAAAGAGATATTCTTAAACACAACGGTGCAGGTGTTACTGTGTTTGTAAAGTTTTTATATACGGATGCATGCAAAGATGTAAAACACAAGTGAATCTATATGATGAAGAAAAGGGGGGTTTTGGTAAAATGGCACTTAGAAATACAAAAAAATAATTTAGAGCACCAGCAATTACCTGCTTTGATAGAGATAAGCTTGTATATCCTAGTTTTTCGTACTCAACTTTAAATTGGAAAACACCATAGACATCTGGAACCTTAAATGATGTGAAATAACGGCCCTGAAAGAGATCAGACAATCCAGTGAACTTTACATAAGGGTTTATTAGAGAAAAATATGAGTATGGCCATTAGGAAATTTAAAAGCACCTTCCCATTAGTTGATAAAGTCTTCAAGACATAGGGGCTCATCATGTAAAATTGCACTTGAACATCATCAGCTACGTAAGGCTCCCAAGATGTCCCAGACCACTCGAAAATTTCAACAGAGAATTCCTTTACAACAAGATTGGACAAATGAGTGACAACAGAAATAAATGTAATGATTAGAGAAAACGTGACGAACAATATATCAAATTTGGAACATTTTGATCACCAAATCATCATTGATCCTATAGATGGCTGGTTCACTAGCTTCCCCAACTTTGTGATGTTGCAACTGCAATGCCTATATATATCAAAACATGAAGCGTAAACATATTAATTAGTAGTAATGATGCTAAATGAGATGTCAAATATCCAATAAATGAACAATGACAATAAAATTGTCTTCCAGATCTTTTTTCTTACCTTGAGGTGACCTCTTTCATGGAAAACCCATTTGCTAAGTTCAGTAAAGAACTGCTCATTACCTGACTTTTCATGTCTGTTATTCAAAAAAAAAAAGAGTTAGCAAGTATTTCTTTGCAGAAAATATTTCACTAAAATCAAATTTTAGGTGGGAAAGACAGTCCACAGTATGTTGGGCATAGGGCAAGAATTGTGCAATATCGCTAATAGAAATCATATATTGATAATATTAAGAGAGAAGGCAGCTAATAAAGCAGTGAAAAATTGACAGAAAACAGAGAGTAAGAAAAGGCTTAATTCTTTACTCACTTGGTTGGACTCCCAGCCTTCTGCACACCTGACCTGAAAAATCTGCAGAAAAATTCCAGTTTACAGTAAAATGAGCTTCGGATCTTACATATTAGTAAGTACAAAACAACCCTGATAGACTAGTAAGCTTCCCTACCGGTTGCTGAACATGCTCAATGAGCCAGATACCAATATCCGGGCATTATTTCTTGCCTACCAAAAAGAAAAAGAGGAGAGTACGTGAGGAATTACTGCAAAGGTTCCCAATCAAAGTCCACAAAAACATGCAATGAACAGCAAAATGTTTTTAGCACATTAAATGAAATCGGTTATTGTATTCTGTAAACTTAACAACGGATATTTTGAAACTACCTTTTTATTTATAACTACTGTAAATTGTACTACCAAAAGGGTAATAGCAATTAAAAGAATGAAAATAACATCAAGAATCAGGCCTTGCTTGTGTATTTCAAATCCATAAGAGGTAGGGTATGTTAAAAGACAACCAAAAATGAACAAATGAGGGAAGTAAATAACACACACAAGCAATAAAAGTGGAGGATGAAATAATATACCTGTATAACTGAAACTAAAGAGATCGAAGATCCAGTGAGTGATGGAGGACTTGTCAGTTTAGATTTTGGGTTAGCAGAAAAGGCTGAAGGAGATGCAGAGAGAGCTTTCAACACCTGGATTGAAACACAAGAAAAAGTGTAACCAAACAAAATGTAAACTTATAAATGCAATATGGCTAATGCCAACATGTGAACTGTGATAAATAAATATTACCAGCCTATTGGTAGGATTTAGTGAATGCCCAATCCCTTGGAAAAGTACTGGAGCCTGTCATACGTAGTGAGAAAATTCAGAAAAGAACACTGCAATGTGCAAGAAGCATTTGCCGCTAACATACAAACCTCACCCCATTTAGAAAAAGGGCAAAAACGGCAAAGGAATAAAAAACATAAACTTTATGACCTCAAACAATAGTGCAAGTATACGTGCTTCAAACACTCAGTGAGCAAAACACAGTTCTTAACAAATTTAACAAATCACTTGCCTCAATCTTTTTGCTTCCCAATATCACGTCAGACTTGATAAAATCATCACTAGCAATCAACGTATGATCCCCTTCAGTAGCAGATACGGCATATCCTGAATGATCCACAACCATGGCAGCCAGATCCTAGAAAAAAATACTAGCAAACTGTAGGGCTTGAAAGTTGAATGCGCTAACATAACATACAAATAACACCTAAGGAAATTACAGCACCACTAGTAGCAAATCAAGCTCAATTGGTCAAGGTACATGGGCGGGGAGTGAGGCTACTGATCTTACTGAGGATCAGAGGCCTAAGATAACGATTATGCGCCCTCATGGTTGCGATGGTTTGCCCATCAATTAATGCATTGTAATTTTTCTCTTTTCTCCTATTTCATTATGTTTGTAATTTTGTTATTCTGTCAGAAACCGTTATGTTTGTGTGGGTGTAGTTTGGCATATATGTTAATGGATTGTAAGAAGGTTGCAGGCAAAAAATCTTTAGAAAACCTATTATTCTCCTACGCATTACTATAGGTTCCTCCAGGCTTCAAACTCAGAAAATTTCTACTTAATTTCATTTTGGATTCCCTTCCTTATCGTTTGAGTTGAAAACACAAAAATAACAACAACTAAGCAAATTACAGGACCGTAGTACTGGAACACGACACCCTTACAGGAAGAAAAACCATCTACACAAAATCAATTCAGCTAATAAGATCGCAAGCACCTCATCGAAGTCCACTCCACACTCGGTGGCGATTTCCCTGATTAAATCAGAAGCATTGCTATCAGCAGCAACAATCAAATCATGACCCGAATCAACAAAATCCAAAATTGCTGCAGCATCAATGGATCCTCCAAAACCTATTAAAACACCTTCGTTTCAGCTAGCTAAACATAAAAACTTCGAAACACAGACAAGAAAAAACCCGCACATCCTCGAGACCCACTAGCAAAATGGCAACACAAATCAAGATCTCAAAAACGTTCAGAAAAAAAGGAAAAATCAGGCAACGAGGGGTGGGGAATGGAAAACTCACGTTCAACGGTGGGGGAAAAGAGAATTAGGGCATCGTAGAGATACTGGCCGTATCTCTGAAGCGCAATTTTGGGGTCATCAGCAAGATGGAAATGGAGATCGAAGCCTCGAGATTTGAGGGAGTTGAAGAAGAGAGAGTGTGAGGATTTGACGGCGAAGTCATCGAGCAAAACGAGGACGCGCCGATCTGAGGGCCGCTCTGGGGTGAAGGAAGTGCAAAGAAGAGGAATGAAAGCGAAGAAGATGAAGATGAGCTTCGACATTGCTACCAACAACACTGCCACACCTCTCTCCACTGCGAGTCAATCAGACTTTCTCACAGTCCTCTTCTTCTACCGTCATCTTTCACAAATTACCTTTTCAGCCCCTCAATTAATCAAAATTATAATTTTCCCCATAGTTAATGGACTCGGGCCGCTACAGCCCAATTCTGCCTCCACCCCCATAAGTTTTTTCCTGCACTCCCATATAAAGAAAACTTTTAATTTTGTCCTTTTTTATTGTGCAAAAAATAATTGTACAATTTAAATTTATTTATATAGATTATAGGAAGAAACTACCCAGAATGTACTGTGTTAGATTAAGTTTTTCCATTGTATTGTATTATTGTATATATACGAAATATTGTTACATCAAATCATTATAATTTTAAGATGTAGTTATCTTTTTGTTGAGTAAAGTTTGTAGTTGTTTTTTAATTTCTTTATTTTTTTTAACAAAAAATAATGGAATAATTATTATATTTAAGTAAATAATTATAAATGTTTCTTAGTAGGAACTTATAGTTATTTACTTAAATATAATATAGGGTTAAATATGTTTTTAGTCCCTAAACTATTGGTCGTTTCTGGTTTTCGTCCCTCTTTCAAAATAAGGTACAATTTGGTCCTCATTCTTTTCGAAACTTTGGTTTTAGTCCTCGAAAACTAACACCGTTAAAAATGTGCTGACATGGCTAACGGTAGACTGACACACGACTTTTTTTTCAAGTGTTTCTCACCTTTTCTCCCCTTCTCTCTCTTGGATCCATCTTCCACCCAGAATATTGTATGGTTTCAGATTGGTTTTCTTTGGACTTCAGTTTTTAAAATACCAAAACATATTTCAGAAAATGACATTAGTATAATAAAAATATATATTTCATAATAAAAGAATATATATTTGTTTAGTTTAATAAAATCTTAAAAATATTGTTAAAT